TGAAATAAATAAATAAATTTGGCACAGAGATAGATTATGGTCTGGAATAGCACATAAGAGCTTTTAATCCAAGAAAAATGTACGGTTCCTGTGGGATGGATTTGTTTTTGTTTTGCTAACTTTAAATATAACTAGCTTTTGGTTCCTTTCTTGATTTTTTTTCCGATTTTTGGTTTCCGACGTTTCGAATATCTCTCCTAAGACCATATTATGTTATTAAAACGTTGGGAACCAGAAATCAAAGTAAAAAAACACGCAAAAATAGTTTCATTTAAAATACAATGGACTTTAGAGTAACATTTACACAAATGGCGGTTTTATCAAACAAATCACAATAAGCCGCACGCTGCGGCGGCGCCTCTGCGAACTTTAAAACTATTCCCGTGCAAGCGCGCGGTGCGTGACGTCACTTCCAACATCCAGCTTTACCGACTCTATATGAAAGGAAAATACACTCTCATATTAATAACAACACCTTTAGCAACAACATCTACTAAAAGTACCTACTTTCTTCGACTCCGTAGAATTATTTTTTTATTTAAATATTTATGCATATGTATTTATTTCCATTTATCGTAATTATATATGTATAAATGTAAGAGTAGGTCTACAATAACTCCAAATACAAGTTTCAGTATTATTTAAATAATATTTCACGTATGTTATCTAATCTTGAGGCAAGTGTCTCAGCTTGTGAGGGAGATCAAACAAATAGCTCTTGAAATTTATTTCGCGCAAGTTGCCTCAGGATATATGAAGTAGGATATCAAGTGTGACGGCAAAAAGGAATTTTGATAGACTATTACAGTGTCAAAATGCAAAATATACGCCATTTATAACTTTGTGTAAAAGTCAGCGTAGTGTTTGTAAACATTGTTTATTTAATCCATACTATTCATACTAATATTATAAAAGTGAAAGTGTGTTTGTTGGTTTGTTTGTTAGTTTGTAATTTTTGCACGTCGAAACAGAGTGACAGATTGGCGTAATTTTTTGTGTGGAAATATTTGGAGGGCTGGATAGTGACATAGGCATTTACCGCGGGAGATTATTTACGTTGTAATACGAAACAAAAGAATATTTATGACCAGAATTAATTGAAACTTGGTATTAATGCTCTTCAATACAATTAATGTTAATGTACTCGTGTTTTAGAATTTTTCGAAATTCATCCCATAAAGGGGTAAAATAGGGGATGAAAGTTTGTATGAAACCTACCTATTTAGTTTTTTTTGTAGTTTTAGCGCGAGCGAAGCCGCGGGTTCTGCTAATAATTTTATAAATATAATTAATAGTTCTATACTATAGCAACACACTAGACCGCTGACTAACCATTTTTTTATCGTTGAGAAATGCAATTACGATCAAAGATCACTAAATAAATATATTTTACGCTAAGAGCAAAACGTATAAAATAACTTAAATATGTAGATATATGAATACGGAAGGCGTAAGCTTGAGAAATTATAGTATTTAGGATGTGGCCGGTGAGCTCGCGGCCGCGGGCCGGACGGCGGTGATAGCGAGAAACTTTTGGGTAATTCTGCTCTGTATTTTGATTTGACCATTCTACAGTGTTAGTTATTTATTTATGTTACATGCGGTTTTTTACTACTAAGTTGAACCGAAAATTATCCGTTCATCACAATAAATAATAACTATTTTGATTCTTACTTAACATTTTTCTAATGAAACTCAGCTTATTATTGAAGGCTGGAAGTCGTTGGGTACATCACATCATTATTAACGCATGTTGAACTCTAAAATCATGTGTCCTAGAACAAAGAAACGTTTTTAACAGTCTTTTATTAATTTAGTAATAATAGAAGCTTTTTGAACACTATCTCAGTAATTATTTTTGGTTTAGTTTTTTCAAATATTTTTTTAAACCAAGATCGCCCTCTTGACAAACGCTAGAACAAGTAAACGAAACCCTTCCTTTACTCCATTAGCGTGAAGCCCCCGGCATTTCAATGTTTTACGACGGGATTATTCCCTAACGCCCTCGCAATCGCCTCCCGAAGTACTCGCCATGACCGACCCACTTGTAGCTGTTGCTCTTTCAAATTTTGGTGTTTTCAAGGTTTTTATTAACAATTGGTCAAGTGCGAGTCGGGTCTGTCTGTCTTCTGATAATTGCAGGTATTTAACTCTATATGTTATTCTAAAATTAATTTTTAAATTCCAATATTGAGTGAAATTAATAGGATGAAACTCTGAAATGATTTATTTCTGCGAAACGCACGTTTCTAAATTCGTACTGATAGTTAACATGATGCGCAAAATAAATAGATAATTTTCATCTCACGACAGAACATTATTGAACCTCTGTACAATGTTATTATATTTAAAATCAGTCATTACTCATTACCATTTTGATGGGATATTATGCATGATTTTCACGCGCGCGTCAGTCGTGAGTAGAAAGATGTCTTACTTGTCTACATCGCGGCCCGCGCTGTACTACATGTAGATACAAACATACGATACTATGCCGAATATTCTATTTATCATAAATTAAATATTTTTTTGGAAAATCTTATTGAAATAAACATTATTATCGATCCAGAGGCCGAATCTATAGTTTTTAAAATTTTTGTCTGCCTGTCTGTCTGTTACCGCATCACAGAAAAACCACTGGAGGGATTTTGAGAAATTTGGTATGGTGATAGCTAGTTATCCGGGTCAACATATAGGATATTTTTTACCGCGGGAAAATGTCTCATTTCTGAGAAAAAATGCAAAAGCTGCAAGCTGTTTTAGGTAATCACTCTCCCTTGTCACGTTTTTGTAATATTATAAATAATCATAGCACCTTGGATCCATTCGGAGACACGCTGCCTATGTTCCAAAAAAAAGTAAAAAAATACCTATAATTTATTTTGTGGTTCTTCCTGGTTTTTTTTTTTTTTTTTAATTCGAATTGTAATCTTTTTCCATTTTTGTGTGTTATTTAATTGTTTGAGTGTATTTTATTATTTATTTAATTTAATATTTTATAATAGTAATTTTAGTACTGTAAAATAGATATAATATTAACATTTTATAAAATCTCAAAATTTGCATGTGGTATTCACCTTAAAAGGTAGTGCAATTAGCTATAAAAACTTAAAATAATTGTACTTGTATAAAATAAATTGTATTATTGTAACTAACCACTGGTGAATCTAATAAATAAATAAATAAATAAATAAATGTCAGAGTATACTAATATGTAAAACCTAAGAATTTGGTTTTTGGTCATCTGAACGCGGGCGCAGCCGCGGGGCAATGCTAGTTATATATATATATATATATATATATATATATATATATATATATATATATATATATATATATATATATATATATATATATTTTGACTGAGTTCAAAAAGGATGGGTGTTTTAAGTATGCATCAATCGACTCTTATATGTCAATATGGTAGAGTTTCATTCATTTACTCGTGGACCACATCAGTGTCTACATATCGACTGCAGATCCGAAGAACATGTTAGTAAAGTGTATTAAGTTTAGTTATTGAGCCTTTCTATTGAGACAGTTTCAGTGACAGCCCAGAATTGGGAAGTAGACACACACACGCGCGCTGCACTATAGCATCTCCTGCGCAATTGGCTGGTCTCAGTGAGATCGGCCGCCGCGGCCGGAGTGGACAGGGTTAGGAGGACATTATTATGATTAGATTTAATAAGCCCCTGAAACCTGTACAAATGCTCGATTGTACCTCTAAGTACCTGACAGCTTTTTGAATATTTTCATGCGCCATAGCTTATATTTCTTTTGTATATAAATTAATAAACATAGATTGAAAGAATAAATGAACACTCAGCAAACATTTCTCAAGAAACTGTACATCAAAATACAAAACGAACACGCAAGTAGATATACCTATATCATCTGCAGCTACATAACTAAACGAAAGAAGGAAGAAGCGAGGACAAAAAAAACGCTGAAATATTCACTGGCAATATTTGTGACATCTTTATTTTTATTTATAGAAATGTTTAAAATAATTTTATGGCTGTTATATCGGAACGGCGTGCAACATCGCCCGCAGCCCGCCGCCGCGCGACAGCAGTCGCTAGCGACGTGAAAGTGGAAATTTAAATGGCCTGTAAATTTTCCCGCCTTATTTTTTGTAATTATCATTAGCGTTGGATAAATGCAACGCGTTTTTTTTATTTGCTTAAAATGGCGCAGAGAAATTTGTTGCTGACACAAACCGTATTATTGTGTTTTATGCGAACTAGCTCTCACGCGGGCCTTCGTGAGTTACGAGTATGTGTTGGGGAAACATTCTTAATGTTCGAATTCTATTTTTACAAAGAATAATGTTTGGTGGTAATTATATCCTCGTTTCACGCAACAAAATTCTATTTTAAATCAGTAACTCCACTTTAGCTACGTTATACCTACGTCACCTACCTACATATGTATGTGAAACGAGCAACACAAGATAAGAAGAAGAGAACAGATACAGTAAATAAAAAAAAGTGTAGGAATTTTACTTATCTATTAATGATTACATATTTCTTTAAAATATTTATAGTGTCTCATCAATATATAAACAAATTAATAAATGATTTTATTCATATAAAGAGCAATGGGGCGCTGTATTTATATTTATTGTAAACATAAATGAAAACACACAAACTGTCATAAAATATATTTATTTCGTGTAACACTACTCAGAGTTGACAAGATGACTCTCTATAATCGCTATCGCTAATATCGCTAATAATAATAAATCTAAAAACGTACGATAATAATATTGAGTTGTGATTTTCTCAATATATTTTTTAAATTCTGTAATATATTCAATTATCTGAACTTTTGCTAAATAAGTTGGAAAAGTGCCTAAATTACCGTTACCATAAGAAGATAAAAACATGTCATGCGGTCACAATGCTGTTCTCACAGTCACAGTCATTATGTCATTCATCTTATCTTAATTTTCTCCTTCAGCATGAACAGCACCGGCGGGTCGGCCAGCGCGCCTAGCGCGGACGTTCGCGCAGCTGGCGGGCCAGCCAGGCCAGCGCGTCGCGCAGGCCGGTGCCGCCGCGCGCGCTGCACGCGCCCACGTGCCACGCCGCCTCCGTCACGCGCTCCAGCCCCAGCGCTGGCGGCCGGTTAATGGACACACTTATTATTATATCTAAAAATATAAACATATACTTACCTACACGTTATGAGTTTATTTGTGTGTTTATTTCAACGCGCCAATCTACTTGTTCAATATAAAAAGTTATTTTGCGTTTTATAGTCTACTAGCGGCTCGAGCTCGCTTCGCTCGGGTTCGCTTCTAGATAAACAAAGACAAATGATCCGTTCAGCCGTTCTGGCGTGATTCAGTAACAAACATGAAAACATCTACACTTTCATTCACGTTTGTATATTAGTGAGATATATTAAGAAAGGTTATAGGCTATTATACAACACCTATGAGAATAAAATAATTCTACACAAATTAAAAGACGCAAGCGGAGACGCGATACATCACAACACTTGAAATATCACTACATGCTTATTAATACCAGTAGTTCAGCGAACAGTAGATCTCGCAAGTCTAAACTGCATTTTGAGGAGCAATTCTGTTCATCGCGCCTCATTAGATCTTCACCAAATTTTTACGAAACCTACTTAAAGTTACTACCTTTCAAATAAAAAAAGAACTATCGAAATCGGACCTCATAAAGAGATATCCAGTAAGTCCCCTTTTTTACCCTTTTTGGAGGAGTACCCTCCAGTAAAAATCCCCAATGAAAAAAATATATATAAAGTGTATACCAACTTTCATTTAGATCGGTTATAAAAAACGAGCTGTAGGAGTACCAACAAGTTGACAGAGGAAAGCAAATTTTGCTAGACTTGCAGCAGTGACGCTTTGCTTGCTCCGTCAATAAATGCGAAAGTTTGTACGATGCGCGATTATGATACCTCTTTTTGCAAAAGGAATAAACTCAATAAAAAAACATGTTATAAAGACACGCTCATGACTCGCTCATGATTTGAAGACGAATTTTACCAGAAACAAAGAGAAAAAACCGGTATTTATATTATAATTAATGATAAACAGATAGCTATTACTATTCTAACACGAGACACACAACATTTTGGTGTTCAAGAGGTTTGCGTTTAAACAAATAGCAAACGCGCCACACTCGATTATACTCGTATCATAAGGAAAACAAACACTAATACTAGTAATACACAAAACGATATTCATTTATTAGGCGGGTCCAGAAAAGATCTGAGAATATAAAACTTCGCAGATGTTTTTATTTATTTATCTGTCTGCCAAATTTGCTACGAGACTGAAACATTCAGAGATTTCTGCTTGTGAGATATTTTCAATATCGATTAAGAAAATGGAAGATTATTTTATCGCGCATCACGTGGTGCGGTGCCGGTGGGGAAGTCGAGTCGGAGTTAAACAAAATAATCAACGATAACCATTCAGGAAATTGTATTTTAAATTGAACTATTATTTTCAAAAGGAAATGTCTCCGTTCTGTTGCCTTATGTCTAACCATGCATTCAAATTCAGTATTCAAAATGTTTTAATCAGCATTAAATTACCTACTACAATTGTTTATTGAACGTTGTGAGTCTACTACCAGTTCGGAAATAAAAAGCCTCAGACTTGAGAAGAACTGGTTAAAGGGACTCAGAGGGACTAATATTATTACGTTATCTTTTTTGTAAGTTAAATTATAATTTACAATTATAATAGAATGTTGGTATAGCCGATCACTTCATTCCCAAGGCGTGCCATCTTCTATCAAATCATTAATTGTATAAATTTGATAGAAGTGGCACCCTGCAACTTTGCCGCCTTTGCCTTTAGCATTAGTATATAAACGTTCATCCATTCTTCATTCACATCATCATGTAACCATCACAAATTATGTCGAGTTGTGTGGTGCAATGAGGGTCGAAGCAAAGCCGGGGCGAGCTGCTAGTATAACATAATTTCCTAAACCGTTAAATTATGTCGATACATTTAGCTTGGGATTATATAAATAAAATATATTATTTGTGTAAATTGTCCCCAAGATTAATTTCATAATTATTTTATTTTTTGGAAAACTGTGATTTACAAGGTCAGCCGTGTGTAGGATGTAATAAAAGCCATATATAATATTTATAGTGTCTTCGTGTCCGTTCGTTTAAAGCGTTAGCCAAGAATAGTTAAAACTCTATCTAAGTCTCTATGGTTAATGATCTAAGTTTTTAGCTTCATATTCGGCCCTCTCTAACGTCTCACTGCTGTGCACGGGCCTTCCTTTAATAAGAGAGAATCAGGCTACAGTCTACCGCGCTCTAATAGCCAAACTCTGAGATATATTTTGGAAACGTTAAACTTGGAAGAAACGAATGAAATGTTGATAGAATAGAAAAGTAGCGTGGTACCGGCGGCGACGTGCGGCGCGGCGAGCGCGCCCGGCGCGTCGCTCTTGTTGGCTAGCACGAGCAACGGCGGGCGGCGCGCGCGCACGGCGGGGTGCGCCAGCGCCAGCGCCAGCTCCTCGCGCGCCACCACTCGCGCACAACACACCTCACGTTAAACACTCCTCACATACTATGTATATCGACTGTTTTTATTTATCTCTTTTATATAAATAATTAGGTATTTTTCTTTTTTTTTTACATTTCAACTTACGATTGATTACCTATATCTAAGTGTATATATATATATATATATATTTAAATGAAATCGAGAGTCGACTTTTTTCTTATATGATCACTATCTAATTTACTATAGATTTTAATCGGTTCCAGTTTAAATGTACAATAATAAATTGTAAAACACGATTGAAAATCGATTTCGACGATTAGATGACCCTTTTATTAGAGGACCATATTCGTTTACCGATTTGTTAGACGATAAGTAATGCATCGTGAGCGATTAATAATAAAACATAACAAAAAGAGAGAATGGATGTAGATACCTAGACGCAGATGGTCGGCGGAGTCCACGACGAAGATGATGGCGTCTGCGCGGCGGTAGTGGCGCTCCCACAGCGCGCGCAGCCGCGCCGCGCCCGGCGCGTCCCACGCGCGGAACGACACGCCGCCGCCTGCGGGCATCGTGGACTATGTGTGATACTTATTAAACATTTTTTCATAAGCTTCTCGCCAACAGTAAATACTAATATCGATTTTTCACTTTATTTGTATATTTATTTTGTATAAGTATATATGATGTATATTTTTAATAAGTCGCATAAAACCTACCTATGAGACAGAATATCGTTTAAATTTAAAAAAATGGACTACTCCCTTCCCTAGGGTTACGTTGCGAACAGAAAACATTTCATTCGTCTTTAGGGGTTTTACATATTAAACCCCTACAAAAACCCTTAAAAAAACCTTACAAAAACCAAGATATGTATAAATATTAAATAATAAATACTTTATCTCTTGTAAAATTAACAAAGCGTGTAATCCCACTGTGTTCTATAATATATCTCCAGATATAAAACGATGCATCGAGCTTTTAAGTTAGACCATATTCGTTGCCTTTGATTTGAATTCTCAGCTGAATTAGAAATGGTTTGAACAGATCTTCAGATCCAAAATGTTTAAGATAGTAAATACGATAAAATTTATCACCACATAATATCATATGAAATAACTCTAAAATAAGCTAGTAATAAATAATTTCCAGCAACATCTATACATATAATAAAACAATAATTTAGCGAAATTTATCTATAAAATGTCTATATGTTTAATGTACGAGTATGTATATATGGCTAACGATGCTTAAACCTTAAGAGATACATCAAAAAATGTGATGATGATGATGTTCTCCTAGCCGATTCCGGCCACGGCGACCATTCTCAATGAGATTAGCCAACTGCGCAGGAGATATTATAGTGCTCAAGTGTACGCGCAGACACAAGTGCACTCTCTATTCCTATCACTCTCATACTCCGGTGGGACGACCACTCGACACGACCGGTGAGACTTTAGGCGCAGGACTGACGACTTTACGTGCTCTCCGAGGCACGGGGGTGAAACACCGCCAACTTCCCAACTCCGGGCTGTTGCTGAGACTTACTATACAGAAAGACTCACTAACTAAACTTGGCCCGACCCGGGACTCGAACCCAGGACCTCCGGGTGTGCAGCCGTACATGCTAGCCACTACACCACCGAGGCAGTTAAAAATGTACTAGAAAATTGTCCCATAGAGTCTGAGGTACAATCGCAATACCTATTTTTATTATCTATACATATAATAAAATTGTAACTAAGTCGAATCTGTACATTAAATATTTTTTGGAAAATCTAATTGAAATAGACATTATTATCGATACAGAGTCCGAATCTATAGTTTTTAGAATTTTAGTCTGTCTGTCTGTTACCGCATCACGAGAAAACCAGAGATTTTGATGACATTTGGTATGATGATAGCTGGTTATCCGGGTCAACATATAGGATACTTTTTACCGCGGGAAAACATCTCATTTCTGAGAAAAAAAACTGCATTATAAGAGTATACTAATATGTAAAACCTAAGAATTTGGTTTTTGGTCATCTGAACGCGGGCGGAGCCGCGGGCAATGCTATATAAAAGGCAATGTCGCGACTCACTGATAGACTTATCAGCGTACAGTCCAAGCCGATGATGATAGACGTTTAAAAGTTGGAGAAGTTATCTATTTTATAATATAGGTGTCATTTAAGAAAGGATTTTCCAAAATCAATTCTCTAAGGGGGTAGAATAGGTGATCTAAGTTTGTCAGAAATTCTGTCATATTTAATATAAATGCACGAAAATTACTATTAATATCCATACTTTGTAATATTATAAAGGTAAAATTCGAATATTACAAAGAGGCAGAGTTCGTTTGTTTGAATGCGCTAATCTCAGGAACTATTAGTCCGATTTGAAAAATTCTTTTTGCATTAGATAGCCGGTTTATTGAGGAAGGCTATACTACTATAAGCTATACATACATCACCATAATACGACTTAGTAATTTAATGCATATAGTCTATATTTTATTCCATACATATCATTAAAACGTACCTAAAGTGTAGAGACTCGAGAGTCGAGACAAACACGAGACCCGAGAGAAGCGAGCGTGAGCCGCTATTTTATTAATAAACATATAATATTTTAATCGTTTTGCCACTATTGCAGTTGCTAACGAATTTCAAAAATATGAATTTCATCAAAATCGGTTGAGGAATACTTTTGCTATAGCTAAGCACTTATACATCGGATGTGAACGTAACAATAGCGCGATGCAATGTACTACTAGCGCCATCTATGACGTATTGCTTGTACTTAACAGCAGAGTAAAGTTCTACCCGGACAAGAATAGAGAAACTTAATTTAAGCAAACATTAGACAAAAATCATTTAAAATGTATATTTTTATATAATAAATATATATTATTGATATAAAAGAAATTATGGCATTCTTTTATTTTAATAATCATATTTACTTTAAAATATCTTTTGTAATATTATAAATATTTTCATGTCACGTCTAGTGAGCGTCTTTGTACAACAAAATTTATTTAATTTAAATTTAACAATAGTCAATACATCTACAGTGCATTATTATTCTTTAAATACAAAATTATTTTCTTTGATATTTTCAAGCTCTTAAAATAGAGTCGTCGCTATATATTAAAAAAAATCATGTGCAACGCTGCTCGCTTGTTGCTATTATATCGAGACCGTATGCAATGCATAGTGTATAGATTTAATATATCAATAAATTTATGTATTCGAGTAATTTAATCTGTACATATAATAAAATTGTAACTAAGCCGAATCTGTCTGTACCTTAAATATTTTTTTGGAAAATCTTATTGAAATAGACATTATTATCGATACAGAAGACACTTACTTTAAATAATCTAGTTTAATATATGTTTTAATTTTTTTTATTTTAATAATATATTTTGTAGCGACGCTATTTGTGTTCTTGTAATAGTTTTTATGATAAGATTAAATTCTCTAAAACCCATCTATTAATAATTTAAGATGATATTTATATAATTCTATTTCTCTGTCACAGATATTTTTATGAGACAATTTTATATAAAACTAGCATTGCCCGCGGCTCCGCCTGCGTTCAGATGACCAAAAACCAAATTCTTAGGTTTTACATATTAGTATACTCTTACATTGCAGTTTTTGTATTTTTTCTCAGAAATGCGTTTTTTTCACGCGGTAAAAAGTATCATATATGTTGACCCGGAGAACCAGCTATCATCATACCAAATTTCATCAAAATCCCTCCAGTGGTTTTTCCGTGATGCGGTAACAGACAGACAGGTGGACAACAGACAAACAAAAATTCTAAAAACTATAGATTCGGCCTCTGTATCGATAATAGTGTCTATTTCAATAAGATTTTCCAAATCTTTACTGTACAGATTCGGCTTAGTTACAATTTTATTATATGTATAGACTAGCGACACACTCTCGTCCACGGGTTCGTCCCTTCTTACGTTTTAACGTTTAGTATAAATTTCTCAGAGATAGAAGTCGGTGCCTGCCGACAATATTTTAAGATCGAATATCTAATAGGTAAATATGATTAGGTATGAACTCTAATATAGTTAAAGTATTATACATCAATTTGTGATGTATGTTACGTATCGAAATATATTAGATTTGCTTTGCATCGGCTGGCACCGACTTCGAAAATATCTGATTAGGTATCTATTCTAAATCAAAACCCTAGTTTAGTTATTTTTTTCATTTTAGTGCCTGGAAGATGGTTTTTTTAAGTTTTTATTACTGTAAATCTACTCTATAGAAAATGTTTACATTAGGGATACGAAGGCCTTGATTTTTACGAAATGGGATAGTAGACTTATAAAATTGTTAATTTTAACTGTTAAAAAACCGTTGGTCTTCGATCAACAATACTACTGTTGAACGAAGCGTGTGGTGATCATACAAAATAGGGATTCGTTTTAATTTTTAGAGGTGCAACAAAACAAAAATTATTTCGCTACGCAAAAAATTATTGATCTCAAACCCGTTGCAGTATGGAGGAAACCAAAGCAACAAACATTATTAATATTAGTACATCGCAATGGTCATTGTAATAAGAATTAATAAGAGAGAAATATACATTGAAAGTGCTCCTGCGTGTGTCCCACAGTGGGCGCAGCGGGCTCAGCGGCGCCAGCGGGCCCAGCGGCCGCAGCGGGCACAGCGGGCCCGGCGGGCGCGCGCAGCGCCGCCAGCAGCGACGTCTTGCCGCTGCCGTCGAGCCCCAGCACGAGCACGGTAGCGGGCGCGCCGCCCGACACCCACGCCGACAGCTTGTCCAGCAGACCCATGCCCGCGCCGCCTTCTCTACGAAGTACCTAACAACAGTTCGACGCTGCTAAGGCTATTGTCAATAGCCTTGTTACTTGTAATATAAGCATAGATACTAAACTATATACCGTGCAAAGTCCCCTGTGTTGGTGTAACTCCTGCTTACTCTACCACAACTCTCGCATCACTCTGCGCACATATCCCGGAGGCGCCCGGTGTGGTCGCCGCGCGTCGCCATGGCAACGGCGCACAACACCGGCCCGCCTCGATGCGTCAAATTGGTATCGGCAAATAAATTGAATCATTGCATTATATTGCAAGCTGTATTTTTTTGGCAATAAAGATTATTATTATTGTTATTACGTCGATATGATTGATGTACGGTGCACAATAATTAATATGATAGAAATTGATTTTTTTGGACTTATTCTTATTTTCTTACTTGCAATACAGACTACATAAATACTACCTTCTTCTTCTTCTTCTCCCTGCCCATTTCCCAATTACTCGGGGTCGGCGCAGTACATCCTCTATACTGCCGATAGGATTTGGCAAAAGTTTTACGACCGGCCGCCTGCCTGACGTCAACCCTCCTTGGGAATGCTATTGTTTATCGCGGAATATGTCTTATGATATGTCTCTTATATATATCTCTGATTATGTCTTGTAATATGATACACTTTCGATATCTTTGTCTTTTAAAACATTTTCTATACTATTAATTGAAGTTTAATGTTATTTTCGTATATATTTTAAAATAAATTTTAATCACACTATAAATTTTGGTTTGACGTTGTCAAATTTTTTCTAAAAATACTACCTGACTACATAAATTATTATATTTATTGTAATATTCCAATTATTCACTAAACTTTTTTTGTAGACTTACACATTTTTTAATTTGAATTCAGAAATCTATTAAAAAAATAAACTTAAATAAATATAAAGAAACTACTATTAATTATTGATGTAATATGCTTTGTCAGATGAAGAATTTAAGCAAAAATTTGATTACTCCTCAAATTCCGAGAGTGGCCTTCAACCAATGGCGGGCGCCGGCTCCGGCCGCACTTTTATTACGGGATACTTCATATTTCGGCGTTTCGTTACTTATTTGAATCGTCTTTTGACCGGCAAGATGGGGACACTTAAATATTTCTCATATATGAAGGAACCTAGGTGAAGGTAATCGATTGGTTAGATATTTCTGTTTTGGTTCAAATTTATAAATAATAACACAAATGAAAAGTAAACAAACAACATTTAATTATATAAAACATGATAATACTTATTATTTGGTCATATTAACATAGAGAGACTTAGCAGACTAGTGTTACATATCAATTAATAGCGCGCAACTAAAATACTACGGGTCCTTTGATTTTGAGTGGATGCCCTCGTTGAATAGTCTACAAAAATTGCAAAATTACAAAGTCACACCTTGTCATTACGCGTAATAGAAAGTAATTGGATGTAATTGTTTTGAAATATTTACTATTCTATGTATTTTTTAGTGTGTTCGAAGCCTAATACCTATTATTGAATTTAAGAATTATTTTTATTTGAAACAGTACAAATATTTTTAACACACATATATTGCATTGGAAAACATGGACACGGTGCAGTAAAATGAATCATTCACTATAACAACATGCAGTGACTTCAGGCCACAGTGGACACCGCGCCGACCGCCCGCTCACAGCGCGGTGCACGCGCGCTCGCAGTCGGCGGGGGCAGGGCGGGGGCGAGCGGCGCGGCGGCGGGCGCGGGGCCGAGCGCGGCGTACACGTCCTCGGGGCGGCGGCCGCGCGTCTCGGGCAGCGCGGCGGCGGCGAAGGCGGCGTAGGCCAGCGTGAGCGCGGCGGCGAGCGCCAGCGCGGCACGCAGGCCGCCCGCCGCCGCCGCGGGGAACAGCGCCACCTCCAGGGCGTTGCCCGCGCCCGCGCCCAGCGACACCAGCATCAGCGCGCAGCCGCGGTACTGCGCACACCACGACACTCACGATACAGTATATTCTATAAATGCATGAGACAATTATAGCCTATAGGTACCTTGTAGTGGAACATGTCAGCGAGCAGCGCGTAGGGCGCGGGCTGCAGCCCCGCCGCGTCCGCCGCCACCGCCAGCGCCACGGCCGCACCCAGCGCCGGCCCGCGCCACTCGCCGCCCGCGCCCGCGCCCGCCAGCCACGCGGCCGCCGCCAGCGCCGCGCCCGTCACCGTCGCGCAACATATGATCAGCGGCTGCGGACACCACACGGCTAGTGACGCTACACACACACGCGAGCACGCACACCCACACATACACATGCGTGCACGCATACTATAACAACGTGTGTATTGGCACAAAGCTGATTCTATACTAGTATGTTAACAAACTAACTTCCACAGATAAAGTCACTATTATGTTTGAAAATTACCACTACGAAAAGTCCATAAGTCATGGTATATTATGATTAACAAATATCCAATAACATTTACTTATGTATGTACAGATTACACAAAAAGAAAGCAATAAAATAGATCTAAATCTAGGATCCGTTGAGGAAATGTATTTACGAATACCACCTGTATGTCTACAGCAGTATAGTATGCATAAATGCATTTCCCAACATAAAAAAAAGGATCCGTTACCACCCACAAAGATATCCAAACAAACGTAACACCTTCAAATTTTCAAAACAGGGTAAAATCAAGACAACATACCCGTCGGCCGACCCGCTCTACCAGGTACAGCGCCACCACAGACATGACCAGCTGCACCACGCCCAGCAGCAGCGCGTAGCGCGCCGGCGACGCCAGCTCCGCGCCCGCGGCGGCGGCGGCCAGGGCGGGCGGCGCGGCCAGGGCGGGCGGCGCCGGGGCGGGCGGCGCGCGCTCGTCCCGCGCGAGCACGAACACGCGCTCGGCGTACTGCAGGATGGCGAGCACGCCGCACATCTCCTGCCCGATCACGCAAATGGCGCCGACGATGAAGGCGCGCCGCCGGCGCGGGTCGCTCACTGAGGGTGGGACTCGCTTTATTATTTGTTACACTCGTTCTTCTTTCACTGACACCCTGCGGTAATGGTACATCATAAAAGGCATACACTATACAGTAGGCGTTCGCATATTTTAAAGGGAATACTATCAAATACAAGGGGCAATTTTCATGGCGAACGGTTTTCTAAGGTGACAGGTTACACTGTTGACCGTAGAGCGCACACTCAGTGACTCACGCATCTCGGCGGCGAGGCTCCAGGCGCGCTGCGGCGCGGCGGCAGCTGGCAGCGCGGCCAGCTGCGCCGCCAGTGCAGCGTGTCCCGGCGGCAACCCGCGGTACCACGCCAGCGCCGCGCCCGCCTCCTGCACGCGCACACACCGCTGTACTCTACTAGTCTAGTGTTTTAATAAACATTATACACAGCTTAGATAGTAGCTTCCCTAGACCTTTAACGACTTACCGGTAAGAAATCTCACGCTCCTCATTAAAAGTGAGCGCCTCTTTTTTTCATTTAAGAAACATTTTTTGCACATAATCGTTGAACATAATTATTCGAGTTTAAATTATTATTAATTTAGGGTTTTTTTTTCAAACAATCGGTTTTGTTTTTACTTGTGTCAATATTGCAAACATAAGCACACACAAAATTTAAACCGTGTAAATAAATTATAAATGATCAAATTCCATTATAGGTATTGTTAGAAATGAAAATACTACTCGTTGATGACACTCGTATATTTTAACTCAATTTAAACTCTAATGACACATCTTTCAATTGCCTTATATATAACGACCAGAAACTTTAGACAGCGCGATTCAGAAAACTACACTTACAATGACAGTGCCATCTCTTGCAATAATATCAAATTAAAACTATTATACATATACATTCTACACATTCCGCCCACCAAGGACTTGTCCTTTAAACAAATAATAAAGAACAAACACAAAATTAAATTAATGTACTACTTATTTGCCGCCCACCATAACATATGGATGTAACAAACAAAAGTAAAATAACTCTAATATTGTCACAATAAAACTAATCACAAATAAAGAAGTACATAAAGTAGCCGCCCACCCTGATAATGCAACTTGAATCACTTTGACTTAGTCAAAATACAAACTTTATTGATTGGGCGTTTAAGAAAACCACTTTTAGATTTTAGAGTTACAACTCGTGTCACATTATCGGGGCCAGTATGCTTTTTTATTATTTTTCCTAAAATCCATTTAGCTGGCGGAAGATTATCGTCTCTAACTACAACCACATCTCCAATATCTACTTCTGGTCTCTTTACACACCATTTATTTCTTTGGTTTAAATTGCTTAAATATTCTTTAGACCATCTTTTCCAAAACAAATTAAACATTTTTTGTATTAACTTCCACCTATCTAAACCAATAACATTTTGATCTATATAATTTACATCACTTATACCTATCAAAGGCTCTCCTATTAAAAAATGGCCAGGTGTCAAGGGAAGAGGGTCGTCTGGGTTATCACTAACAAATGACAAAGGTCGAGAATTTAAACAAGCCTCGATTTGCGTTAGTAGTGTACAAAGCTCTTCGTATGTTAAAGTACTATCCCCGATTACTCTTTTTAAATGCGCTTTAGCACAACGAACACCCGCCTCCCAAATTCCTCCAAAATTAGGTGCACTTGGAGGTATAAAATGCCATTTAGTGGATTTTAATGATAAAAGTTCTGCTATTTCATGTGGTAACTCAGATTTAGCACTATTAAACATATTTCGTAACATCACATCTGCACCAACAAAGTTAGTGCCGTTGTCGCTAAAAAGATCTTGACAGTGTCCTCTTCTAGCAACAAATCTTCGAAAGGCGGCAATAAAGCCTTTCGCTGTTAGATCAGTCACAGCTTCTAAGTGAATTGCACGAGTGACCATGCACACGAACAAACAAATATATCCTTTATAGGACTTTGCTCCTCTACCCGATGATACTCTAATATTAATGGGACCCGCATAATCCACTCCTGAAGCTTTGAAGGGTCTGCTTGGTTTTAGCCTGGCCTCTGGTAACTGCCCCATAAGTTGGGTTGTTGCTGCTTTAGAGTACCTTAATCAAGTTGTACATTCCCTATAATATTGTTTGACCATATCACGTGCTCTCACTATCCAAAATTTAGATCTCAAAAAATTCATCATTAATTGAGGCCCGCCATGAAGTGTCTTCTTATGAGCATCTGCGACTATCAGCTGACTTAAATGATTTTTATTTGGCATGATAATTGGATGTTTTTGATCAAAGCTCACTTCTGCTTGGCTAATGCGTCCACCAACTCTTAATATCTTATTTTTGTCTAAAAATGGATAAAGTGAAAGTAACTTGCTCCGTTTTGAGACACAACCCTTATTTTGTAGTGAAATCATTTCGTCGCTAAACTCATACTCCTGAACTTGTCTAATACAAAGTTCCATAGTTTTATTCATCTCATCAGTTGTAGCGTATTTAGGATATGCAGATCTATCTTTTAATGGTAACTTTACTTTAAGGAACCTCCGACATATGGATATGACTTTTAACATTTTATTTAAATCTGAGAATTTCATCCACTCAAAACTGCATTCTGTGACCTTCGTGGTAAATGATTTAACCTTCTCTTCCTCGTGAGTATCACCTATAATTGGATTTTCAATATTAATGATCGATTTTGCTAGCCACTCAGGACCGTTCCACCAGAGTGAATAACTGCTTAATTCGGTCGGCTTGAGACCTCTCGATGCACAATCAGCGGGATTCGTCTGAGTTGATACGTGTCGCCATTGCTCAAAATCTAAGATTGTGTGAATGTGTGATACTCTGTTACTTACGTAAGTAGCCCACCGACTTACCGGCCCTCGTAACCATGCCAATACTACCATAGAATCAGTCCAGGCATATAAATCTTGTTTCATTACGCCCATTACTTGTGACACCTCATGTATTAACTTAGCAGCTAATACTGCTCCACAAAGTTCTAACCTGGGAATAGACACTTCTTTTTCAATAGGCGCTACTTTAGTTTTTGCAGTCACAAGTCTAACGTAAATTTGGTTGTTCTCGTCAATTACTTTGAGATACACAGCAGCTGCATAAGCAACACTTGACGCATCTGAAAATGCATGTAACTCTAACTTAGATCTCTTGGTTGAGCAAAGCCATCGGGGTATTAAAATATGTTTAATATGAGTTAATTCTTGTCTGTATTTAAGCCACTCTGCCAAAAGATCACTCGGTAACTCATTATCCCAATCTAGGTGTGATTTCCATAATTTTTGTATAAAAATTTTAGCAGTAATTACTACAGGTGCAATCCATCCAATAGGGTCATATAATCGCGCAATATCTGATAGAACATTTCGTTTTGTAACCGGTTGTGTAGGTTCAGGTAAATTAACTATATACTCAAAATTGTCTGTAAGTCTGTTCCAACAAATACCCAATACTTTGACCATATTATCTTCTTTGATATATATCGCGTTCTCTGTGTTTAACTTCTCTGCTTTAATGTGATTTAAAAACGATTGATTATTACTACTCCACTTTTGCACTTGAAAACCTCCCGCACTCATTAATTTACTCATTTCCTCGTAAATTTGTATCGCTTCCCACTCTTCTTCACACCCAGTCATTAAATCGTCTACATAAAAATCTCGTTTTGTAATCTGTGCTGCTAATGGGTAATTCTCGCTTTCTAATTCGGCTAATGTTTGTAAAGTCTTTACTGCAAGATAAGGTGCGCAGGCGGTTCCAAAGGTTAATGTCAATAGTTTGTGATGTTGAATTGGTAAATCAGGTCTAGCTCTCCATACAATTCGTTGAAAATTGGTATCCATATCATGCACATACACTTGCCTGTACATCTTTACTAAATCTGCAACAATACATATAGGGTGCTGCCGCCATCTGAGTAAAAGATGTCGTAAGTCTTGTTGGAGTTTTGGCCCTATAAGTAGATCATCATTCAATGACACGTTATTGATTCCTTTACTGGAGGCATTGAAGACAACGCGCACTTTTGTTGTCTCCCTATCGTCTCTGATAACTGCATGATGTGGAAGATATACAGCTGAAGGATTATCTACATCCTCACTTTCGACTAGCCTCATATGATTTAAAGCAGTATACTCTTCTAGAACTTTACCATACTCATTTAAAAGTTTAGGGTTTTTACATAATCTTCTCTCTAATGAAATTAGTTTTCTCGTAGCTATCTCACATGATCGACCATATTGACTCTGGGGATTATCTGTTCTAAATGGTAATCTTACTACGAACCTCCCATCTTTACGTCTCGATGTTGTCTCAGTATAGAATTGCTCACAGCGTTGTTCCTCTTTAGTTAATTTTTTCTCGATACTATTCGGCTCGTTCTCTATCTCCCAAAACTTTTTTAATAACTCATCTTCTTTAACTTGAACATGTAAAGTAACAACATTGTCATTACCAGATTCTCGTGACACCTTACCTGACAAAATCCATCCAAAAATAGTATTCTGAGCTATTAGGTTTCCGTATGGGCTTCTCTTCATTCCATTTAGCAGTATCTCTCCGTATACTTCTGCACCGAGTAAAACATCAATCTTCCCTGGAGATGCAAATCCTGGATCGGCGAGAGGTAAGTTTTTTAGCTCTAGCCAATCGGGGATATTTACTTCACGTGACGGTAATATAGAGGTAATTGTCTTTAATACATAAGCGTAGACGCGAATATTTTTACCAGGATCATGACGGGATTCTACTTCGATATTAACTGCGTATTTTATAACCATACTATGACCATCTCCCAAGCTTGACACCCTACCATTTACATTAGTACGTTTAAGACCTAACAACTGTACGGTGTCCTCAGTCACAAAAGAGGCTTGAGAGCCTTGGTCTAACAATGCTCTTAAAATATAAGAAGAACCGTTTCTAGAACTATTAGATTTTACAACAGCAGTTGCTAATAGTACGCTATAAGTTTTTACATCACCTCTCGAAAAATTAGCTAATACAGTTGTCTCGTTAGATGATGAATTTATTCCACCACTAGATTTATGTTCTGTGTCTCTCGTTGACTCAGTTTGTCTCGAATTTTGATAAGTTTGTTTATCTTCTTTCTCAAAATGAAGCAAAGTATGGTGCTTTTTGCCACATTTTCGACATGTCGAATTTTGATGACATTTAAATACAGGATGTGTGGGCGCGAGACAGTTAAAACAAAGCCGCTTATTTTGCACTATATTTTGTCTTTCAAGTACAGGCTCTTTCTTAAACTGTGTACAGTAATATATAAAATGTGGACCGTTACACATTGCGCAAGTTGCTTCATTTGAACTTTGTTTAACGTTTACGTCTGAATAGAATGTTTTTGGTTTTATTACTTGATTTGCATTTCTTTGTTGATTATTATGTAATTTAAAACTAGTAAATTGTTTGTTTGTATCTATCATCTCTAAAGTTCTGAATCTCGTTTCTAGAAATTGTTCTAAATGTGACCATTTGGGTAGTTCATCTGGTACAGTACTTAAATAGTTTTCCCAGTGTCGATGTGACTCTTGATCCAATTTTAAGACTACTAAATGAATGATCACTGCATCCCATTCTTGAGTTTTAATGTTAAGGTTATTTAATGCTTTTAAACAAGAGTTAGTTGTATCTAGTAAGTTTCTAATAGAAATTGCAGACTCATGTGTTATGGTTTTTTGTCCAAACAACATTTTCATAATAGAGTTACAGTTGTACCTTTTATTATTATAACGTTTAGTTAGCTGATCCCATGCTTCTTTATAATTAGTAGCTGTAGTGGGAAAATTTCTCAATAGCCTTTCAGGTTCTCCAGTCAAACTTGACTTTAAATAATGTAATTTTTGTACCGGCGTAAGTACAGAATTCTCGTGTATAAGTGACACAAACATGTCGTAAAAGGATTGCCACTCTGTATATTTTCCATTAAAAATAGGAAGTTGAATTCTAGGTAGCTGTACCTCAGAATTAATCTCTTTCGTGACAGACAATCCATTTCCACTAGCACCTACCTTTGCAGAGCTTGAATTGGCCGATGCAATGTATTCTTTAAGAAGGGCTTTATAGTTAATAAAAGATTCTTGAAAACTATCCTGCAAATCATCTTTAAAATATGATAACTGCGCTTTCTGCTCGTGTGTCACCTTAGATGCTATTTCCAAATGATTTTGATTAAAAGCTTCCTCTAATTTATCCAATGCTTCTATTCGTGCAGTTAAATAACTAATTTTAGCACGGATCTCAATGTTTGACTTTTTAAAATTCCGTTCCGCTTTTTTTAATTGCTCAAATAACTCGAATTGCCCTTTTACTAAATTCTCCATTTTTATTTAGTGTAAAGAAATACAATATAGTATATTATTTAAATTAGAAATACGATCGATAAATACAACATATTTGACAACTTCAAACATCAATGTTTTGTCAAGTTCATAGAGTAAATTCACAAATATTTTACAAGTCCATAGAATTAAATCTCGAATATTTTACAAGTCCAAAATTTCAATATATTTTTTTAAAGTCTTTAAAAGAACGAAAATAGTTTAAGTTAAAATCACTATTAATTATTCTAAGTTCGTACGTATACTTTACGCGAAATTTTGCAAGTCTTTTAACTGATTCACTAATCACTGAATTCACTGTCTTATCTCTATTTACTCACGGTTTTAGGTCCTTTAAGCTCGTCTTACCACTCGTGACTCTACACTCACTTCACTTTGTCCTTCCTTTTCTCTCCCGGGTTTCGGCACCAATGTTAGAAATGAAAATACTACTCGTTGATGACACTCGTATATTTTAACTCAATTTAAACTCTAATGACACATCTTTCAATTGCCTTATATATAACGACCAGAAACTTTAGACAGCGCGATTCAGAAAACTACACTTACAATGACAGTGCCATCTCTTGCAATAATATCAAATTAAAACTATTATACATATACATTCTACACAGGTATTAAAAAATTTAATACCTTTACTTTATTATATATACGATAAAACATAATATAATTTTCCAATTATTTATTAAATTATTAATAATATATGTATTACTCATATACGTACATATATACATGTTACTTATAATGATGATCGACGGCCGTTCTCGCTAAGATTAGGCGACTGAATAGGAGATATTGTAATTGTGCACGCGCTCTCACTCGCCACTCCCTCCGACACGACCAGTGCTCTCCGAGGCACGGGCATGAAACACTGCCAACCTTCCAGAATCGGCTCGTCACTCAAACTTCCTTAACAGAGACTCAATACCTTGGCCCGACTCGGGACTCGAACCCGGAAACACACATACTGTCCGCTAGAACACTAGGTGACGTGACTGACCTGCGCGCGGCCGCGCGCCGCCAGGAAGGAGGGCGACTCGGGCACGCGCGCGAGCGCGGCGCTGTGCGCCAGCGCCAGCGCCAGGCAGCCCGCCAGCACCGCGCTGCGGGGGGAAACCGAACGGTACACTATCTTAATTGGTTAATGAAAAACCTATTGCACTATTTCCTATCCTATAATCCTATTAATTCCTCCACGACCGCAGACACGCCGGTGTGTCGGTTGACGATAGATTTATTAGAATTTTAATTAATTTCTTAAGAATTCACCTGGAGGTGTTAATCCCATTGTTAATTTTCCATACCGATATTATAAATGTGAAAGTTTGTGAGGATGGATGGAATATATGCTGGGTGAAAGGCACAGAGATAGATTAAAGTCTGGAATAGCACATAGATTGCTTTTTATACCGGAAAAATGTACGGTTCCCGTGTGATAGATATGTTTTTATTATATTACTCCATGAAGCGGTACTATGACCTAAGTAAACTTTTATATTGAGATTGATTCGAACGCAAAATATTAAAAAACAGTCAAGCATAATACTTTAGTGATTGTTGATTTTTACTTATTTGACTTTTTTCTTTCCCTATTTCATATAGAAATTGAGGATATACGTTAACTAATCTAGTCCAGCCGTTCTCAACGCTAAGCAACAAATAGCATCTCAATTCGACACATATTTCCTTTTTATATTTTATGTTTGACCACGTTTAACTTATTACGGTGTAGTCCGATTTCGATTACTTATTCATTTTTTATTGGATAGGATCCTCAAAGTTAGCCCCATTTAAACGTGATAAACAATTCACCTCTGTATGTAAAAAATAGGGGATTTCAAACAAAAAACACTCACAAGTGAAAAATCACTGATTAATAGTTTTCATTTACTATACATATCTAATCAGGTATTTTAGAAGTCGGCGCCAGACAAGTTAAAGAACACTGTGATTCTTTTTGCTTCTTAAGTGTTTTTTTTTTCGTAAGTTAGTAGTATCTAAGGAAATAGATTCATACTTAATATTGCGGACCTAACAGTTTAGCCAGCGTGAGCCATGTCAATTTCTAAGGATGACTCGAACCAGTTATTGTATTTTCCCGTGGGAATGAAAGATTTTCCTGTAGTAAAAGGTATTCGAAATGTTGACCCGAGTAATATGTTATCACTACACAAAAATTAAAATCCGTCCAGTGCTTTTTGCGTGAAACGCATAAGACACACAGACATACAAACAAAAATTTAAATAACTATCGTTTTGGGGTCTACATTATATACACAAAATGTTACATTAATTGTTTTTATAAAATATTCCATGTACAGATTTCCCTAAGTTACTTCTTTATTATATGTATAATAAACATTATATAATAAATAATATGGATAGAAGAAGATAATATATAAAGAAAACAATAGCACAATACATACCGCTGCCCTATAGCCAGGTCCGCGGCGAGGTACATGAGCAGCACGCCGAGGTTGTGCGCCGTCGCCAGCGCCGCCACCGCGGCGCCGCCGCAGCGCGCGCTGCACAGCTGCAACCACGCTACGTCAGACGCCGGCTCGGGCTGGCCGTATTGCCTACTAGTACTCGAATAATCACCACCGGCGGATTAGACGGATTCTAGAGTGGACACCGTGCCTCGGCAAACGACAATATATAAAGTTACTGCATAGTCGGAAGCGTAGAGCTGTATATCTAGCTCGATGGCGTTCCTTAAGAGATGCCTATCTAGCAAGGCTGATGGTGATGGAAAAACAAAAAAAAATGTGTGTTTGTGTGCAATTTACACACGGTAGAAATGAAACTCCAGAAAAGTAACCTACGAGAGAATTAAATAAATATAGAGTATCGAGAGAATAATTGTAAGATTCATTTTTTTTAATAATATTTTTACCATGTTTGAAAAGTTATTTTACATTTTATTTAACATACCTTTATTACATTACACATTATTCAGTAGGTATTAATAATATAATAATAATAAATTATTTATTTCAATCATCAAAGGATCATATTTTGTTAGTAAAACATTATTATTTTTATTATTTTTTACGTCCTGTGTAATGTATTTTATCTCACTCTCTCACCATCTTAATCCTATAAATTTATGTTTGTCTCTTTGTCGTGTCGCATTTTAGTTTCATCGAGTTTAAAATCACAACGATTCTAAAGAAGTTTCCCTTCAATAACTTTATGCATTGTGTGTGTTGTGTGTGTTTGCGTGTACCTCTTTAGCGAGCAGCGGCGAGAGCGCCCAGGCCGCGGCGCCGCCCAGGCCGGCCGCCACGCGCGCCGCCGCCACGGCCCATGCGCCCCACGCGCCCCACGCGCCGTACGCGGCAGCCAGCTTCAGTGACCAGCATACCTGCACATTGACAATCGTATTAGCTTCATCATTTCATAGATAGCCCATGTATTTCTCCTATCATTAAAACCGTTTTAGCGTAAAAGAGCAGCAAACATACACACGTACACATACACATACAAACTTTCACGTTCACTATAATAAGAGTCCGATTTAAAAATATATATTATACATTTACGAGTACGTGTTTATTGAGTGTAACTATATTTAACTCCTAGACTACTTCTGTTATATACATAGCTACAAAAATGTGATACTGGACAAGAAAAAGGTCAATGTATCGACTCTTCGGTGTTGATACATTACGTGGTAAACATGCGTATTGACGTCAACTTTTACTATGGTACTGTTGAATCACCGTCCCTGCTGGTTGGCATACACTAATTTTTCCAAACATTAATCCTCCATCCAATATCTTTTTCTTCTTTCATTATTGCACTAAAACGATTCCAGTTTTTCCCAAATTTGATATATAAAATGACCTGTGAAGTACTATCTACCTCGCCCACGCTACTCAATCAAAATAAGAAGCATATCGCATGTATATCAAATAGATAATACGTCTAAATGATCGGTGAGGCGTACCGACCACGAAGCAAGCGGAGGTGCCGAGCAGTGCCACCTTGCGGCCGGCGGCGAGCGCGGCCGCGCTCAGCGGCACGCCGACCAGCGCGGCCGCGAACGTCGTCACGGCGGCCACTACGGCGGCGCGCCCCGCCGCCGCGTCGCCGTCCGCCTCGCCGCTCGCCAGCGATACCCAGCCCAGCGCCAGCCCGAATGACAGCGTCGGAACGTTGACTGCCGAACAATTCAATATTATTGTAAAATTCCTTAAGCTACGTGTGTGCGTTAACGGAGGGGGGACCAAGATGTGGGGGGCTCATTAGCATCCGGCAATTCGGCCCGGCGCGAAGCCAAGAGGAGAGCCACACATATGGAGGTGGGCAGTGTGCCATGCGGGTTGCATGCACCTGGTACTTCTCTGATAGCTTTGGCAAACCTGGCTCTCACAAGTGACGAACTAACTAGATTCATATAAATTTAATGAACGTTCAATACGATACATATTGAAGGACATATTCCAGTCAAAATAGACTAAATTATGATCCAAGTTTGCATTAATTCCCAACAAGCTGGATTTTTGTGTGGGCCTTGAATACGTCATTACAAATGATATGTCAAAAGTCCCCATCGATCCCGCTTGTGCGTTGTTTTTTATTCGAGGTCAAAGGTCACAAAATTGCGTTTTTTGCGTATATCTCTGAAACAACGAGAGTTATCGAAAAATGGTACATACAAAGTTTGTAGATCGTAAAATTGTGTACAAAAAATATCTCAACACTTTTCTTCTACAAAGCATTGCTTTCGAGATATCGTGATTTTAGACCGCAGGAAAATCGTATTTTCGACTATATGCACACATTTCCGCACCAACTCTGAGGTAGTGTACACGGCGCTTTTTTTTTAACGTGGTTTCCCAAGTAGGAAGTTAAAGCTATAGCCTAACCACTCGAGTTACATTGTTTTCGGTATCGAAGGGTATTCATGTTTTTTTTTATGGCGCGCGCGCGGGTAATAGAAAAAAGGTTATTGTTTTGCTACCCTTGTGTGGTGATAAAATATATGGGGAGGTGTGTTCTTTTTTATTATAAATGTGAGATAATGTAGTTAGTTATAAAATGAGAATAATAAAATTTGAAATAATGGTTCTATTTTTAAGTTATAAAGATTTTAAGGTAGATTTTTGGTAACATCGGTGTACCCTGACTTCAGGGTCAATTTACTAATATATTGCAAAAAACTAGAATAAACCAATCTTTGAATGTGTTAGGTTATTTCATAACGATTCCAACAACACAAGTTACTTATATAGCTCCCATACAAAACTTTAGAGATATCGTCATTTTTGGCCCCCGGGGGGTGGTTTTTTTTTACTATTTGTTTTTTTTAAGTACCCACACAGATCCGGCCATCTTGTTTATTTCTCCCCTCCACAGATAATAGTTTAACCCGATGATGCATACTAGCCACGTATGAGTGCATATTCGTGTTTTCTATGTTTAAAATAGCCATAATTCGAGAACAGTGCACCGTACAAGAAAAAGTGTTGAGATATTTTTTGTAGACAATTTTACGATATACAAACTTTGTTCGAACCATTTTTCGATAACTCTCGTTGTTTCAGAGATATACGCAAAAAACGCAAATTTGTGACCTTTGACCTCGAATAAAAAACAACGCACAAGCGGGATCGATGGGGACTTTTGACATATCATTTGTAATAATGACGTATTCAAGGCCCACACAAAAATTCAGCTTGTTGGGAATTAATGCAAACCGGATGTCTATTTTGACTGGACTAACAAGTCTAAAGATAATATTTAAATATTTTATTCATACATTATCTATTTATTTAAATATTCGGCGCCAAGGTCGCGTGTACACTGCCCAAATATCTGGCGTAATCGAGTATCTACATCTGAGACTCCTCTTCACAGTGTTGTAACGTCGGACACAGCACTAACCTCAGCAGCAAATAGTCGCCGTGACTGAGCCCACAATGAAGTCAAACTTGCTATGTAAATATATGCATTGCTATGTACATATTACCATATTACATATGTTCATTTAAAGCAAATCTAAGCAAACACATATTAATTACGAGTAATGATAATTTTAGGATTTCCATACAATCTCCAGATGATGAAGTAATGAAAAAAGTTGACCTTTTTTTCAATAATTTGCTCTTCTAATATTTTGTGGGAACCGCTCTAAGGGTAAATACTAAATAATTGTTTCATGTTGCAGGCAGTAGTCATGTCTTAGAGAGCTAAACAATCTGCAGAAATTTTAAATTCCAACGACAAAATTGACCAATAGAATAAAAAAGAAATAACAATAATTATAAAAGGAACTAGAATTGAGAGAATGAAATAAACATATTTTAAGATAGTGGAAAATAAATCAGCCGGAAACGAGAGAAAATAAAAAAAAGAAAAAAAAGAGAGAGCTGTATTTGAATTAACAAATTTGAAGTGTAAAAAGAAATGTATTAATACACGTAATGATTTATTCGAGATCATTTTACAGAGAGTTCTCTCTCGGTCGGTAGAAGGAAAAACAATAACTTGCGGTAGAAAGTTATAAGAAAATCAGCATTGCCATTAAATATCAAGAGGCGCTAAAATAACATTTGATTTATAATATTAATTATAATACAGTTTTATAAAAATATCTAAACGGGGGTTTTCATTTAGAATAGATACCTAATCAGATATTTTCGAAGTCGGTGCTAGCCTACAATATTTTAAGATATGAATATCTAATAGATAAATATGTACCTACTTTACGTATCGAAATATATTAGATTTGCTTTGCATCGGCTGGCACCGATTTCGAAAATATCTGATTAGGTATCTATTCAAAATTCAAAATATTTTAATCAGCATTTAATTATTACAATTTTTTACTGAACGTTATGAGTCTACTACCAGTTCGGAAAGAAGAAGCCTCAGACCTGAGAAGAACTGGCGAAAGAAACTCAGCGGGACTAATATTAACTTGTTATCTTTTTTTAAGTAAAATTATAATTTACAATATTTCTATCAAGTTGAAGTAGCCTGGAGGCGATCACTTCATTCCCAAGGTGTGCCATCTTCTATAAAATCATTTATTGTATATAGCCTTTAGCACACAAACGTTCTTTAACAATTCCTTTGAATTTGGCGATAGAAGCCTTTTGAACATTTTCTGGGATCCTGTTGTACAAGCGTATACATTGTCCATAAAAAGAATTACTGACTCTGTGTAGACGAGTCACAGGCATTACAAGTTTATGTTTGCTCCTAGTATTAATGTTATGCATGCCACACTTCTTGGGAAATTCGTGTATATTTTTACGGACATACATAATATTTTACCGCCGTTTATTTATTTTTTACATTTTAATGCCTGGAAGTCGGTTTTTATTTATTTTTAAGATTAACTATTTATTATTTATAACTTAAATTTTGGAGATTTTTTCTGTATTTTAAAAGTTAAACAAGTGTTAACTAATTACCAATAATTCGACTAGCATTCAACAAAATGATGTCAATAATTAATAAAGATTGATTAAATTTACATAAATTTGTATTAATACAAACAAAATTGAAGCAACTTCAAAATGAATCCCTACATGAGGTAAGTATCCCCCAAACCATTTTATTGAAATTGGATAAAAGCATTAACCTAAGCAACTATCCCTTTTTTTAGAGGTTAAATAAAACAGGATTTACTGAAAAACAATATTGATTGTGTTTATAAAAATAGTACACAATCAAAGATTAAAGGCCAATGTTTTAATAAAGTAGGGCAACTATCCGGCTTTTACCCTATAGGCATCCCTAAAAATACGCACATTACCAAAACCGGTTATGATGCATCTTGTAATTCGCATTAGCATTTAGCATTATTGTTTTCTTTTATGGTTTATTTCTTTTAACATAAATACTATGTGTTTCTCTAAATAAAATTACAAACGAAATAAAACCAAAACAAAAGGGTTTAAAAAATCTAGCTACAAGTCCACATGTAAGCATATATTTCAAGTAAACTTTTAAGCTCTTCATATTTCATTTAATTACAGATAAAAATAATAAAAATATACTACAGATACTAAGCATATATAAATTTTTCCGGGACCTAGCCGTGATTAGGGCAGAGGCAGACTCAACGTCGCGCACGTTAAGTTCCAGTGTTATTTTATATTTGAGACTATATTTACTTATTAATAAATTTGCAGCGGAAACTGTGTGGTCCTTATTTACCTTTCACACCTACCAGTTACCTACAAATACCCCAAATATCTAATTTTTGATTTTTTTTCTGTGAGTCCGTACTAAGCTTTCGCTTGGGGTAGGACGTACGTTATTTAAAATATACAAATACACATTATTGTAAGCATCTTACAATAACTAATTAATTCAAATTTAATTAATTCTTGTTACTTTAAATTCTTATTATATGAATATGCCTAGTTATTTAACTCAAATCATATTAAGTATAAGTACTTGACATAGAAGTTTTGATAACTTACTCAGTATTACAATAAGCACCTGGTTCAGAGCGAACCTCGCACTCGTCAGCCACGACCGGTGGCTCTTCACTGTCATTGCTACACACTACACTAAACTGACACTTGTACTTCACAAATTGTAATTCAATTAATAAACAAGGATATCCAAGACTTACTCATGTATAAAAATTTAATAATACATCAATAAATTTTGAATAAAAATCCACATCATAAATATAAATAGTGATATCTATCGCTTATTTGAGAAACTCAGTAGATTTTCATAAAACAATGTAAATTCGATAAATATTTCGAACAATAATAATCAATTAATTGATCACCGAGGCATGTCCCGCGAGGTCCGCGCGACGGCGACGGCGGTGCCGGTGTGCGGCGCCGCGGGCCGCGCGCGCGCTTTAAGCGCTGCGCTCGCGCATGCTCCAGGTAAACACTGCTTTTAACACGCCTCTGACTCGTCCTGTACTTTACGTCGAAAACGAAATACTTCCCAGTACACACTGTTTACAATGTACATCTATACAGATAAATAAAAGTGAAGTGTTTGTTTGTAATATCAAAATAACAGCTTTTTACTAAATGCATATGGAATTATTTATATGTATATAGTATATAGTATTTATAAGAAAAACAACAATTTTTAAAATGTTGTCTGTCTGTCTGTTTATTCCGGCTAATCTCCGATACGGCTGGGCCGAATTTGACGGGACTTTTACTGATAAGTAGTTGATGTTATAAGGAGTAACTTAGACTACTTTTATTTCAGTAAAAGAATTAGGGTTCCGCTCAAAAAAATAAAAATGTACCCAGGGACGAACCCGAGCGAAGCGAGGGTGAGTCGCTAGTTGTACATACATACATATGTATGTATATGTATTGAGATTTTAAAAAGAAGCGATAGTACTCACATGTAATTCGCATAAAATAAAAAAGTTATAATGTCGTTATGCCACACCATTGTTAAGAAAACATGCTAAATATATTATATTCAATTTATTAAAATTGTAGAAAATATTCGTTAAAATATGAAATATATATTTTACACAATTTCATATTTAAAATTGATTTAATTTTCTACCTAATACAATTGTTAAAATGAATACCAAATACCGATTCAACAAGTATTTGAGTCGTCAGACTTTAATAATGTTACTGACGCTCAGCGCTGGATCGCTGGAGCCATGGACGAATTGTGGTTAATTCGTTCATGGCTGGAGCGCTGGACTCGGGGCTAGTGCCCAGGGCGGCAAAATTCGGAGGATAGGAAAAAAATCTCTTCGCGTTATCGAAATGCTTTGTTTTTTCAAAAAAAACAGTACATTTTTCGAAAAATTGAAATCATTTACAAATTCATTTTTTGCATTTTTCAAAATTTTTATTAAAATTAAAAAAAAAACATTATCGAAACTTTACCCGTTTTATGCAAAATTTTGACAATTAGGCGACATTTTTTACTATGCCCAGGGGCGGCAGTAAGGTTGAATCCGACACTGCTGACGGTGCACTTTAGTGTACAAGCTTTTCTTATATTTTTTTTGTAGGTTTGTTTTTTTTACTTTAGTACATTTATTTTAACTTTTGCTTTAATGGTCTGACAATTCTGGGATCAAACGAATGTGAAAAATTACGGAGCTTTCTGTTTAAAACATTATCTTATAGAGGTTAGTTTTATGATATGAATAATAGAGCCCTGCAATTAGAGCGATGGCGCAATTGTCTGTAAATCTGTCTATCCCCTTGTTCCCGCACGTCCCGTTGCGTCTCACGTCCACGTCTGCACCTGCACTACCTGCCAACAAACTCGCTTTGATAGTAAATAGACGAGTCGACTGTAGAGAAACTTATGACTCAGTCTGTGATAACTTCCTAACGGATTGAATACACTGACTTTTAATTTTAAATGTAAAATTGACGATTCAAAATAGTTGTAAAAGTATATTTGAATAAAGTATATTTGATTTGATTTGATTTGACTGATCTCGTAAGTAAACGGGAACGAAAGGGTAAAAAATAACGTTCGCCCAAAGCATTTACTCAAACACAATACTCTACGTCAGATGTACGTAATACCTACAAAAAGGTAATACATATTCGCAAAACGTGACTTTGCGAAAAGTTGGCGTACAAACTAATTAGATACTCGGAAATATATGTTTGTGATGAGCATAAGTGCTTTGTACTTTTCCACTCACTATAATATTAAAAAATAAGAAAAGATTATTGTTTTAAAATTCATGAGAATTCGCAAAGCTATAATTTATTGGGACGTAATTTGCATAGATAAAATAGACCTCGATACCCACACAAAACTACAAGTTATTATAACAGCGGTAAAAATTATACAATCTCATTTAGTCCAGGAGAAATCGACGCATGAGTACCGAAAACTATTCCACCTCATTTTTTTTATGCGATCCTCTTTAAATTGCTCTACTGATGATATAAATGCGTGTTGCTATGGGGCAACCCCGTGCCATATTGTTTAAACCGAAATTGGGACTCATACTTGTGATTGCGCGTAATAAACAATTAAAAAACAAATTCAAATCTCAATTGGGGATATTATTAACTATTATATAAAGAATTATTTTTTTAATATATTTTATTAATTTTTTTTAAACATTTTTCGTGGGTCAAAAGTATCCAAATTTGAGATTTTTCAAACCTTTAAAAATTTATATCTCCAAAAATATTAACTTTATCGTGAAAAGTCATAGAACCTTTTTAATTTGTATTTCAATAAATAATATAAAAAAGTATTTCCGAATAGAAAATAACAATTCCTTACAATTGTTTAAGCAATTTCGGTTTAAACAATATGACACGGGATTGCCCACGGCAACATGGATTTATATCATCAGTAGGACAATTTAAAGAGCATCGCATAAGAAAATTGAGGTGTAATAATTTTCTGTACTCATGCGCCGATTCATCCTAGACTAATTAGCAATGCTCGATCACTTTTATGCTGATTTAATGCTGATAAAGAAAAACTATTTCTAAAAATTGATACTGGTATCGATAAGAATAACATTGTAATTTGTAACCCAGTGTTGTGACAATTTTGAATTTAGGCAAAATCAAAACCTTTAAAATTTTATACAAATATAACAAAAACTTTATACCTATTAACCAGAAATTAATTATTATTTTAAAACTATCTCAAGACTACTATCTCAATGAATGTTTCACGGAACTAATTGTGATAAAACTTAAGTGAGTTGTTCTATGAACGCCCACAACGGTTTCTGGCCCAAAAAAAATCTTCGTATGTTTGTCGTCTATGGTTCCTAAAATATGCTGGAGCGAAGCGAGAGTACGTCACTAGCTTATGTTTAAACGCTTCGCTCGTACTTCCTCAAAAAATAGTTTTGGTTACACGTTCAAAGTAATAAAACTAAACTCTTAGGTTATTCTTGGTTCCCAATAAAATATCCCTTGCTTAGAAACTTCTTACAAGGTTTAAAACTGGAAATGTAGTTTGATAAGCATAATATATACTACGTCATTAATAAGTAAAATATAAATATAATAGAATATAATAGAATATAAATGCATATTTTCCATAAATAAATACAAAACACATGATTTCTAGGAAAACCCCTTGATCTTACCCAACGTATCGAGTTTCCGATACAATCTAATATTTATACTTTATTACATGCTATTATTTCATTTAACTTGTATGTTTGAAGTATACGTAATTCCCCTAACAGAATTTCACTGAGGGAAGGTGAACGTACATGAACCTGTAGACAATACGATATCGTTATGTCTAAAAACTGATGGGATGAAGGAACCGGTGGTAACGAGAACTCTTTTAGGCCTTGACGTAAACCCTCGATTTACACAAAAAGATAGTAACAGTGATTCCAAAATGTCATAACATAAATACTTCGAGTTTTAGCACGTTCGATTGATCAATAATGTGCAGGAATTCACTAATTTAAATTTAGACATAATAACAAAAAAAAGTATTATAAATGTCTACAGCGTATACATTTTAACGCCCCACTGCTGGGTTCGGTTTTTCCTTTAATACGAGGGGATCATGACATAGCCCACAATCCTGCAGGTTGGTGGACTCCTCATGTCTTACGAAAACTTGCTCTCTTTTGAAAAGCTCTCTTAGAAATGTAGGTTTCAGAAAAATATTTTCCTTTCCTTTGACTTTTGTCTGGCAAATGATATATTATGAGTTGTCTCATAAAATATGGTCAAAGATTATTAAACAGAAAGATGTTTGACGATTTAAGAACATACACTGGATCTGAACTAATATAACACTTCTATGCTTTCATTTTAACGCAAACAAAAAAATATATTTTATACTTATTAATTACTATAGTACAATAAAAGAGAATCTTGGTCGAGAAAATTATTAAAAGCACGTGCCTAATAGGTCACCGAACTCGAGACAACTATATCATTATAAAAAAATTGAATCTATAGTTTTAAGAATTTTTGTCTATCTGTGTGTCTGTGACCGCATCACAGAAAAATCACTGGAGGAATTTTGAAGAAATTTGGTATGGTAATAGCTGGTTATCCGGGTCAACTAATATACTAATACGAGTATACTAATAAGTATATAAAACCTAAGAATTTGGTTTTGGTCATATGAACGCGGTCGGAGCCGCGGGCAATGCTAGTCTATATATATATTAAAATTGTAACTAAGCCGAATCTGTACATTAAATATTTTTTGGAAAAACTTATTGAAATAGATATTATTATCGATACAGAGGCAGAATCAATAGTTTTTAGAATTTTTGTCTGTCTGTCTGTTACCGCATCACGGAAAAATCACTGGAGAGATTTTGATGAAATTTGGTATGATGATAGCTGGTTATACGGGTCAACATATAGAATACTTTTTACAGCGGGAAAATATCTCATCTCTGAGAAGTCGATACTAAACGTTAAAACGTAAGTAGGAACGAACACGAGCGAAGCGAGGGTGAGTCGCTAGTCAGAAATAAATTAAGTATTTTAACGCTCGGCGCATGGCAACATTAAATAAATCGACGCTAATTTATTTATAAAATAAAACTACATCAGTACATTTTGATGATGATTGTTCTATATTTTGAATTTAACTGAATCTGAAGCTTTAAACGATTTTTAAGATACAGAAATTCAAATATCCAGCGCAGTCGTCAATAATTACGGAAAATCGCGGTTGTATATAGCAATTTTTTTTTCTTTAGACTTGACTTCTGCTAGAAGGCAAAACCCTCACATGATGAGCAGTAAATCAATCGGACCGCATGTGTGGAGCGTGCGTGAGAGGCATACAGAGCGCGGGTATATCCCTTGTAAACTCTCGTCAACATAGTACAATAGCACCTACTACCCACCTATCTCTACACAAAAAGTTATAATCATTTATTGGATTTATGCGAATATTTTGCATTTTAAATAAAAATTATTTTTAAGATCTTTCACTGTTTTATCTCACTATTTGGTTTTACTATGTTTCGAATATGAAAACTAAAATATGATGTTAGCAGCCATCGATCAAAAAGTACTTTTTAATCGATGTTAATTAACAGCGTTCTTTTATGTATCTCGAGTCTAAAGATCATTTAATCTATCTATACATGTATACTTATAATAACTCTGTAGAGAGGTCAATTCTGTACATGAAATATATTTCCAAAATAACTATCAGGGGGTGATTAGGGATACTGATGCCAAAAATGCAATCAGTAAAATTTTTGTCTGTCTGTCTGTCTGTATAACCGTTATAGAAACAAAAACTACTCGACGGATTTTAACGAAACTTGGTACAATTATTTTTCATACTCCTGAGCTGGTTAAAGTATACTTTTCATCACGCTACAATTAATAGGAGCAGAGCAATGAAGGGAAATGTTGGGAAAACGGGAGAAGTTACTCCATTTTTTAAGCTTCCGTCGCGTGTGCAACCTTAATGGTTAAAGCTACACAGAAATCATGTATGACGGAAATGTTCTCCTTAAAATTATATAAAAAATATCCCACGACAGCATATGTCTATCTTTTATGGTTGACTCACAATAACACGTGTAACTCCCGATAGCTTAGCAGTTCGAAGCTTTCTGATTTATATTTGTCTACTCTTACGTTTATAACACTCTCAGTCATCCCTAATTAAAAAATTTAACATTATTAACTATTCCATAAAAAAGAATCATTGAAATCGGTATAGAAACACCAAAGTTATACATGAAATACGCTAATAATAAGCCATCGCGAGTCAGGGGGATGTAAGAAGACAAATAGAACAAATCCAGATTTTTTCAATTTTTTTGTTTCTCTGTTTGTCTGTTTGTACGGGCTAATCTCCGAATCTATTGGACCGATTTAAATGAAATTTTTCATAGTGGTACCTTATATCCCCGGACAACGTCTTAGATATTTTTTTATTATTTTTTATAATTAAATGGTTCCCGTGGGGTAGTTAAAAAACTATTATAACTTATACAACTTATGCACCTAATTTAGTAGTATTTAACATTCTGATACCTTATATTGCCGATCAAACAACAGGTTACTTTTCATCCGGGAAAAATGTACGGTTCCCGTGGGAACTAATAGATTTCTATTATTTTTCTAGAGGCGAACCCGAGCGAAGCGAGGGTGAGCCGCTAGTATAAAATAAAAAAGGCAAATTTAAAAATCCAATTACCCGTTATCTCTCTCTATCGGTAAACGACGTTCAGGAAACCAAAGGGCCTTGAAATTATTAACAATTATGTATAAGGTGCATAAAACAATAGAAATATTATTTTCTCGCCACAATTTTTCCGCAGAATCAACACGCGATCACTTTTTCATATTTCTCAGTTACTACTAGATACATATCGTAAAGCAAGATAAGGTTGCATCAAATTCGCGATAATTGTATACACTAATGTCATTCAAGAATACATGGACAGTTATTTCTGTTACAAAAAAGTTAAATGTAAAATTTTTGAAAAAAGTTGGCAATTTATAAAATATTAGCAGAACCCGCGGCTTTGCGTGCGCTAAAAGTGCAAAGAAATCTCTAAAAAGGTAGTTTCATACAAACTTTCATCCCCTATTTTACCCCCTTTATAGGATGAATTTTGAAAAGTGCTAAAACGCGTATTTATTTAATTTTATTAAAGAGCATTAATACCAAGTTTAAAGTAATTCTGATCATAAATATTTTTTGGATTGTATTATAACGTGTTTACCGTGGGAATTAGATTATCTCCCGCGATAAAAAGTAGCCTATGTCACTTTCCAGCCCTCCAACTATCTCCACACAAAAAATCACGCCAATCCGCCAAGACATTTCGATGTGAAAGAAAGACAAACAAACACACTTTCACATTTATAATATTAGTATGGATATACCTAATACCTATGAGTACACCTTTGTGGTAAAATCTATTTCTGCGTAATACTTAGTCAAAATTATGCCTTTATACCATTTGTTTAGAAATTCTTGGCCCATGGAGTCAAAATGCTAAACACTTATTAAAAGACATAACGCCTCGTCTTATCGCCTCTACTGGTGACAGAAGAGCTGGCTCGTTTATGAATTGGCCATAATTCCACGCGGACATGACTTGTGCAGTAATAATTAAGTGTATAATTTTGTTTTGTTATACAATTATAAATATTTTTGTAATTTCAATATATTGCATTCATTGTAAATAAAAAAATCATAATCTATACATATAATAAAATTCTAACTGAGTCGAATCTGTATATTAAATATTTTTTGGAAAATCTTATTGAAATAGACATTATTATCGATACAGAGGCCGAATCTATAGTTTTTAGAATTTTTGTCTGTCTGTCTGTTACCGCATCACAGAAAAACCACTGGAGGGATTTTGATGAAATTTGGTATGGTGACAGCTGGTTATCCGGGTCAACACATATGATGACTTTTTACCGCGACAAAATATCACATTTCTGAGAAAAAATACAAAAACTGCAATGTAAGAGTATAGTTTATACTAATATGTAAAACCTAAGAATTTGGTTTTTGGTCATCTGAACGCGGGCAGAGCCGCGGGCAATGCTAGTATTATAATAAAATTCTGAGTCGAATCTGTACAATAAATATTTTTTGCGAAATCTTATTGAAATAGACATTATTATCAATACAGAGGCCGTATAGTTTTTAGAATTTTTGTCTGTCTGTCTGTCCGTCCGTCCGTTCGTCTGTCTGTCTGTCTGTCCGTCCGTCACGGAAAAACCACTGGAGGGATTTTGTTGAAATTTGGTATGATGATAGCTTGTTGTCCGGGTCAAGATATAGGATACTTTTTACTGCGGGACAATATCTCGTCTCTGAAAAATTGATACTAAAAGTTAAAATGTAAATAGGGACGAACCCGAGCGAAGCGAGAGTGAGTCGCTAGTATTATATAAATAATTAAACAAAGTTATGTTTGCATTAAATTACTCATATCTTGTATTTCAACATATTCATATGCACGTAGACACAACTCTGTATTGAGGAAGATCCTAAATTAAAATATGCATTAACAATAAACATGGTTTATAATGGAGAGCCTTCGACTGCGTCGAGATCAAAACAAACAACTTACAATTTCATATATTCTGTGCACATGTCTCGGGGCAACAATGAGAAACACAAATAAAATAATCATTCAAAATTATTGTGATTAATATTTAATATGATACGTATCTGGAAGTTACAGGTAGTGTTGCGCACAATGTAACTGAGCTGCGCTTGCGCGACCGGCCGTCTCATGTGTGGCAACGTGTTCAGTAGTCATCGCCAGAGAAATTACACTAAGGAGATATTCGTTTCAACATTTGTCAACGACTTTTAACCCGGTTGTTATATTATTATGTTAAAATCTTAAAATGAGGGCTTAAACACCAATAGGGCATTTTTTTCAACCATCGCCGAAAAAGATAAACTGCGTGACTGCGTGTGCCAGACGAGCATAACGATCATTTAGAGACCTACTCCACGTTACATTGTGTTTGTACCTCCTAGTCTCCTAGATAACTCCGGCCACCAATAAAAACACCAATGTATTTTGCTACCATTCTCCAGATTTGCAATATAAGTTCAACAATAACGTAAACAGTAAAAAAAAGTAAAAAAAGTATAAGATGGAATCCGTAACTTGAGCTGAAGTTTTTTTTTCCCGTAATACAATTTATGCTATATAATGCGAGTATTTAATGATAAAATTATCATCAATTTATATGAAATAAATTTTAGATACCTACCGTCATTTCGCTATATTACAAAATTTTCGTGAAACACTTTAGTAACCTTAGTAATTTTATTTTTTAAAGAATAGAAGTATATACACTATACCTACAGGTTGGTCGGAACGTTGACGTCCAAAAATAAAATGTAGGTCCCTCGTATGGTACGGTATCCGAATCACCCCCATGTATGTTACGCGACTTTTCATAATTTACGAGTTATGATTTTCTTTCTGAATTTATGAAAATTTTCGACCCAACTTAAAAAAAAATAGAAGACTTTGTCGAGATTTGTTTTTTGCTATTAAATATTCATAAGTAGTACTTTTATGAATAAAACTATCAGCTTTGTAACTGTGATGAAAGTTATGAGAATGTTGTTATTAAGTGAAAAATTGACGATCAGTCAATTATGACTTAAATTTTCAACTTTAAGTAAAAAAATCTAAACAGGTGACTTCATGGTTCCTAAGTAGACTTAAGAATGAGCCACCCTGTCAGCTTTTACAATTATTAAAAAAAAGTAGTAATTATTATTTTTGCAAAAAGAAAACAAAAAACGTGGTAAATATTCGTACAAACAGACATCAGTCTGACAAATAATATATTTTTTATTCAGCCGATTAATTAACGGGCGAATAGCAACAACCTCCTTTATTTATTATTCGTCCTATTAAAACACGAAAAAATATTTTTATTCGTCCTTATTTTAAGTACAAATAGCAACTACCTAAGTTTATAGTTGTAGCCCTGAATTGGGCAGTCGATGGTGCTACAATCATATATATCAGGTTATGAGAGTATGATTTGAATGAAGTTAGCTAAGTTTTTCTCATATTCTGATTTAAAAATTATTTGAAGAAATTTTGATGAAATTTTGCACACGGAATATGACCTCGATTGACACATAAGCTACTGTTAGGCACCAACGGCCATTATAATAAAATTCTTGTACTATCACTTACATGTTGGTCCCTTAAGTTCTCTTCTCTCCATGTCTATTGTTGATTGTACTGAAAAAATATAAATTAAAGATATTTATTTAAAAATTAAATTCCGTGACCACAGGGGCGGGGCTACTTTGGCTAAAATCGGCCTTCAAAGACTAAAAATATTTTTCTTTGATTCTAATTCATCACAATTTATAACTATATGTGTATATGCGCATTCGATATTGAGTTTTCTAAAGTACTTATTTTACTTTAAAGAACAATGGCAAATTTTCATCTGAATGTTTTTAAGGCGTCTTAGATTAGGACATATACAAAACTTAATTATTTTATTTTCACGTTTTTTTACGGCTTTAGTTTTTCATGGTAAAGTCACGAAGAAATGTTTACATAATAAGATACTAATTGATTGTTATTATGTACTTCCGGTTTAGCCATTCGTAAAGGATGATGTAAAAACTGTTGCCACAGAAGAATATAGAATGATAATAATAATTATATATGATCGAACGAACTTCTCAAATGAAGTTCGATCATTATTATATGAGTCACTTCATTGAAATTCCCTCATTAAACATTTTTGCAAATGTAAAATATTTTTTGTTAAAAAAAATCATGATTTTATGACAGTTTTCGGATAGCAATTTTTTTTTTTTTGATTAATGGAGTCAAACAAGAATCAAATATATTTTCAAAGTGACTGGGTTCAAGAGAACTTCTGTTATAATTCACTGCAAAACCTAAACAATGTAATAGTTTTGAAGAACCTTTTTGCGTTTATTATAGTTATCTGTAATACAAAGAACACAGAGCCTGATGAATGAGTTATAGCTTGTTTCAACACATTAGTAAATGTTCTATGAGCTACTGAAAGGCCTTAGGGCATATTACTCTCTTCTCAAATTTAATTCATCTTCAAATTGAAATTTGAGCTGTACACGTGTTTGCTTTCTCAAAAATAGATAACAAAACTGAAGATAAGTATATCAACTTGTGTTACTAGCGTTGTTGTAAACAACGAAAGCATTAAAATTAAATTAATTATTTTTTTAGAATTAAAACTCTAGCAGTATGGGAAAATTCTACCTAAAATTACAAAGTTTGTAATATTAAGTCAGTAATGGTGAGAGAGGCTGCTAGCGTGAAGTACAGACTTACTGGCGAGATGCAGACGGCCGCGATTTGTTTGGGCGCGCAGCTCTGAGCATTTGCCGAGCTGGCATCTGGCGGTTCAAAGGGCCCTCTGCACGGGCCTTTGCACCTCCCCTGTGGTTTTGCTGATAACACGAGGGCCTGTTCCAGGTTCACAAACACCAGAATATCGTTTGTGAATTTGAATCCATAAATGATTATTCCGTTGTCCAAACATTGTTTGGTCTTTACTACGCGCATTAATACGCGCTAAGTTGATTAGTGAAAATCGTCCGTATTCCACATTGATTGTCACTTTTTATTTTAATTATCGTTTCATTTTATCATTTGCAAGTACTACTGTTGATCAGTTTGTTGAAAATCGGCAATGAGATTAGAGGGCTTGTTTTATTAGCGAGAGGTATTAGAAATTGCCTCATTATTTAATTTTAGTGCTAGCAGAGGAGTGCATTTTTTCGTTAAATTTAAATATATAAATAGGTAAAAATAAAGGTACCTAATCTTTTAATAGATTATATTTAAACTCTTTTAATATAGTACCTTATTTAAGACTATTCTTAAACAAATTTTAGCCTATGCTAAAATTTGCGTCAAAATATGGTGAATTTCCTCACCAAATGGATCATTTTCAGTCTCCTTTCATAGTGTTATGAGAACCTCTGGATCGAGTACTCGACCAACATCGGGACCATTCTTTTGAAAAGCGAATTTCTGCGCTAGGCATAAGTGTCCTGATTGGAATTACGAATTGTCATTAATTTTAGCCTCATTAATGTTTTGATCTAGAATACGTCGATCCCTAATGAAAAACACGATGACGATGGTTAGGTTCCTTTGTGTTTAATGTACAACTAATCGCCAGGTAAAACTAAATTTACATAATAATATGTGTGGTTTAATGCAAAATAATAATGGATCATTATTACTTTTTGAACATGTTATAAAATTAATAAAGCTCTCGTTAAACCGCCACTCACGGTTAACCGCCAGGCAAAAGCTTTCGAAATGAGCTTATTATAACATAAGGTATATATTATATATTTTATACGTATACGTACGTAGGTACGTACGTAATATATATTATATATTTGATACGTAATATATTATATATTTCATACTTAACAGTTTTAGTCGTCGTCTTAACTCACGGTTAACCGCAACCAATTGAAACTACTTATATTTATTATTATCTTCATAATAGGTTTTGTTTTAATGTTATATAATTCTATGTGACCCTCGTGATAACTTTCAGTTAGCCACCATTCTTTAAATGGTATTATAAATTTATATGTAATATTTAATAAAATATGACGACAAAATGTGAGTAATCGTAAATAGATATATGTACAAACTGGACTCGGATGATGGATGATAATGGATTAAGATCCCACTGCAAGATTGCTACGTTCATAGCGTATTTAATTGAAATCAATTTTTTATATACAATAATAAGGGACAATATGTTTTGACCGGGGTGCCTATTCAAATGAGCCCGCTAGTATGTTTAAGTAACTAAATAATAGTTGACCTTTTGGAATAAAAACGATGCATTTGTTATTACAATGAGTTATACTCCACTTCACAGAACTATACGTGGAGATCTTGAAAAATGATAGCTGCCGTTGCGCATTTCGCCGCAACCTCTTCGCAGCCAGGTGTAAGCGGGTCATATTTTGGGACGTTTATACGTTCATAGCGTATGTTCATCACTTATATATCAAATTAAAGCTATTTTTTCTGTACCTGATAAACTACGTCTGCCTATGTAAAAATGGCCGCAAAAGTGGTTGCGAGTCATTAAAAATGTTTTTGTTACATTTATACGTTCATGGCGTGTATTCATCATTTATATATCAATTTAAAGCTAATTTTTTTCTGTGCATGATAAAATACCTCTACCTATGTAAAAGTGGCCCCAAAGGAAAGAAAAGAAGGAAAGAATATAATATTATATGTCATTTGTCGGACAATAACAACGGTTACCATGGCAAAGATAGATTAAAGTGAAAGAGAGTTAGCGCGTTAGTTATGTTTGTATGGCAGCTATCATTTTTCAAGATCTCTACGTATAGTTCTGTGAAGTGTTCTGTGTAGTATAATTCATTGTAATAACAAATGCATCGTTTTCATTTCAAAAAGTCAACTATTATTTAGTTAATTAAACATACTCGCGGGTACATTTGGATAGGCACCCCGGTCAAAACATATTGTCCCTTTTATTATTGTATATAAACAATTGATTTCGATTAAATACGCTATGAACGTAGCAATCTTGCAGTGGGATCTCGATCCATAATATAATTTGAATCCGACGATGTTTAAACAATTGTTGTTCCTTAAGTTTCTTGAATTCCCATTAGTTTACATCTTTCTTCTTCTTCTTGAACATATTCACTTTTATTTGGAATTTTTACCCGAAGAGTACACGTGTGCTTGCTACTTCGCACGAAATAAGAATGACGGCACTGACTCCGAGTAGTAGGGTCTAGGGATGTAGACATTAGCGAGTAACGAATTTATTTTAAGAATCCATATACATATCTACTTTTAAAAAAAATATCTTAAATGTGTGCGAATGCTACCTTGTAGATTAAAAGGACTACCTGATATTATATCTGAAGGATGAAGCGAAGAAAAATAAATTTAATATTATCTCCATTTTAATTGTTGTTTTTATCATAAGTATATTATTGTGTAAAGTTCGTATTTTAATAAATTTTAAATTACCTAGTACTTGGAATCATATTTTTTTACAGGTGTATAAATCTGTATAAAAACATGTAAATTAAATAAACACGCAAATAATGTACTTTTATGTATATATAGTCCACCACTACCGACACAGCTGACTGTATGTTTTGTATCCAAAAATAAAGGAGATATAAGTATGTTTTGAGGCTATAGGCCCCGTTCAACGATTTAAAAAAAATCATATCCATGCCATTTATAAAATACGTTAGCAAACCCGGAATTAAGAGGGATAAAAGCGGAGGGCTTAAGCATATTTTGATAATTTGGAATGTTATTTACTTACAATTTTTTTATCATTCTTCCTATTTACAGTAAAAGAAATTACAAACATACTTTTAATTATAGGAGGTATATAATATATACACATAAGTAGGTAGGTAATATATGTCTACCTATCTAATTATGCGTATATATTATATACCTTAATTTGATGAGACCTTATAATTTTTTTCTCAAGAACAAATACATAAATGACCACTTCCTAACATTTCATTTTTTGTATAGTTTTTTTAACAGACTTCCAAAAAGTTTCTCAATTCGTCGGAATGTTTTTTTATGTAAACCTCCGTTTAGTTATTTTTTACATTATAGTGCCTGGAAGTCGTTTTTTTTTTAAGTTTTTATAATGGAATATGAATTGAAATGTAGATTTTTATTAGAAAAATGAACACTTATATAAGTTGTGTATTTTTAGCTGTTTATTTGAAGCACAAAAACATCGCCATATGGCATCAATTTTTTGTCACAAATTAATGTTAAAACTATAATTAGTATGATATTTAAGCATTTACGTTTTCATAATAAGTGTTATCTACTTTATTATTTTTATATTTGATAATGTTATTCTCGCTTAATTATATTTATATACTTCAAGATTGACAAACTTGGAACTTAATTATTTTTCTTTTTAGGGGAAAAGTGCTATCCCATCAAAAACATCAGAACTAGATATTTTTCATGATACCTTCAATAAATTTAACTTCAAACTATTAGAATACTATTATTCCAAACTGTGAGTTAAATATAAATATAATAATTATTATTTTTAGTTTTACTTTATTTTATATTTTTAAATTATGTTATTTCTAGTTTTTGTTAATTTTGTATTTTTTATAAATTACTATAATAATTCCATAATATTATAAATGCTATGTACACTTGTAATTGATAAACATGTCTGTTTCTTTTTTTTACTTTAATTATTGTATTGAATTGTTTTAACATGTGCATTGTAAGTGTGCTTAATAATAAATAATAAAAAATGTGAAAAAGGGAACCAAGTTCAATATCTATACATATAATAGAACTGTAGAGGTAGAATGTCTGTACATAGTCTGGCCATAAACACTGTTACAATTAAAAATAAACAAAATATTACATTTGAATTTTTAATCTGTCATTTTTATATGATTGTTCATTGTGTTATCTCATTTTCACGCAAATACATTGTAAAGTATTTTGTGATATTAAAATGGAGAAATGTAACGTGTAATAAAAAAATGTTTTTTTCTTTGTAACAATATTTATGGCAAGACTATGTACGTAGAAAAAAAAGTGCTAAATACCAAGTCCTACTGACTTGGTACTTAGCATTTTTTTAAACCGACTTCCTCAAAAAGGAGGAGGTGCTCAATTCGGCTGTATGTTTTTTTTTGTTTTTCATTTATGTTTGTATCTGATGGTAAGGCCAGAAGGTGGATGGGTGGAACTCTTCAACGGCTAATAGTAGATACTTTGAGTTTGGGCTTATTTTGTTTGATTTGACAAGCCTAACACGTTAGAATTCTTACTTTGCTAGTAGACAGTTGTAGTGTCTACACTAAAAAGGGGAAAATAAAAACTTTTTAACAAAAAAATAAAAACCGACTTCAAACAAAAGCACTAAAAAGTAAAAAATAACTGATTGGTAGTTTTCATCTATACATATAATAAAATTCTAACTGAGTCTTATTCAAATAGACATAATTATCGGTATAGAGGCCGAATCTATAGTTTTTAGAATTATTGTCTGTCTGTCTGTCGGTCTATTACCGCATCACGGAAAAACCACTGGCGGGATTTTGATGCAATTTGGTATGGTGATAGATGGTTATCTGGGTCAACATATAGGATACTTTTTACTGCAAGAAAACATCTCATTTCTGAGAAAAAATACAAAAACTGTAATGTAAGAGTATACTAATATGTAAAACCTAAGAATTTGGTTTTTGGTCATCTGAACGCGGGCGGAGCCGCGGGCAATGCTAGTTTAATACACATACCTAATCAAATATTTTCGAAGTCGGTGCCAGCCGATACAAAGCAAAGCACTTCTTTTACATGTTATGTTTTTCATGGTACAAGTTTTTACCACTGTTAAAATAGTTCATAATCACTGAAATTTATTTTATTATATGAGAAATGCTTTTTTTTGGTATTTATAAAATAAAGTATTTCGATAGTGGATATACCTACATACTCGTAAATGGATCACTTATCTATCTAAGCAA